GATATAGAAAGGGAATAAAATATTTTTTCCGGAAAAGAAAAGGGGTTGGGGTTAATACGCAGAGCCTATAAGGAACGCACTTGGACCGCACTTGATAGAAGAGAGTGCCTGAAATGGTTATGTGTTTCCCATTAAGCCACTTGGTACTTATTGGTACTTATAACTGGTAATGTGACAAAGGGAAATAATGTAAAACCTATCAAAAGGGAAGTAACCATTAAAACCCAAAATGATTATTAGGTAATCCACATCATTACATTAAAGTATTCCCAAACCTTTAAAATTATAACCTAAAGACAAAGTAATAGAAAAAAAATTTAAGGTTAAATTTTTTTTACTAGAAGGGAGGGGGAGATAGTCATACAGACACAGTAGCTGTGATAGACTCATAGACTGTACTAGTCATACAGACACAGTAGCTGTGATAGACTCATAGACTGTACTAGTCATACAGACACAGTAGCTGTGATAAACTCATAGACTGTACTAGTCATACAGTCACTGTAGCAGTGATAGACTCATAGACTGTACTAGTCATACAGACACAGTAGCTGTGATAGACTCATAGACTGTACTAGTCATACAGACACAGTAGCAGTGATAGACTCATAGACTGTACTAGTCATACAGACACAATAGCAGTGATAGACTCATAGACTGTACTAGTCATACAGACACAGTAGCTGTGATAGACTCACAGACTGTACTAGTCATACAGACACAATAGCAGTGATAGACTCACAGACTGTACTAGTCATACAGACACAGTAGCTGTGATAGACTCACAGACTGTACTAGTCATACAGACACAGTAGCTGTGATAGACTCATAGACTGTACTAGTCATACAGACACAGTAGCAGTGATAGACTCATAGACTGTACTAGTCTGTAATGTTGTGAATTCCCGGGGAAACCCCAGAGAGTTCCCGATGGGGAGAAAAAGGTCGGAGGACCCGTGAGAGAAGAGAAAAACGGGAGAAGTGAGTCTCGTGTGTCTCATGGTAAACGAAGTGAGAGACACAAGAAAAGCATGAGACGTGAACGGAAGACGTGAACCGAGAGACTGAAGTAAGACAGTTGAAGTTCTGCCCTGACTGAGAGAGGACGCGTGAATGAACGCCTGAGAAGAATAAATGATTTGTGAAGTGAACGTTATATTTCAATAGGAGGACTGAATGTTTTTCCATACGTTGTAATGTCAGATATCAGAGTCCATGAAGTATAGATGGATGGTTCGAGAGACGCTGATAAATTCCTGAGTGTGTGGGAAGTCCGACCAGGTCGCTAGATTCAGCCAAGAAAGCCGAGCACGAGGAAGCATGAATGTATGTTTGCGATAACTGGCGATTCAACGAATAAAAGCAAAGAACTCAATATTCGTTCATGCTGTGTCGTTTCAACTCACTGTTCATCTGAAAGCAATGTAAACAACACATGCCCCTAGATGAGCACATCACATAGTCATACAGACACAGTAGCAGTGATAGACTCACAGACTGTACTAGTCATACAGACACAGTAGCTGTGATAGACTCATAGACTGTACTAGTCATACAGACACAGTAGCAGTGATAGACTCACAGACTGTACTAGTCATACAGTCACAGTAGCTGTGATAGACTCACAGACTGTACTAGTCATACAGACACAGTAGCTGTGATAGACTCACAGACTGTACTAGTCATACAGACACAGTAGCAGTGATAGACTCACAGACTGTACTAGTCATACAGACACAGTAGCAGTGATAGACTCACAGACTGTACTAGTCATACAGACACAATGACAGTGATAGACTCACAGACTGTACTAGTCATACAGACACAATAACAGTGATAGACTCATAGACTGTACTAGTCATACAGACACAGTAGCTGTGAAAGACTCATAGACTGTACTAGTCATACAGACACAGTAGCTGTGATAGACTCATAGACTGTACTAGTCATATAGACACAATAACAGTGATAGACTCACAGACTGTACTAGTCATACAGACACAGTAGCAGCAATAGACTCACAGCCTGTACTAGTCATACAGAGACAATAGCAGTGATAGACTCATATACTTTACTAATCATACAAAGTAGCAGTGATAGACTCATAGACTTTACTAGTCATACAGACACAACAGCACTCAGACATACAACAGCAATGATACACTCAACTGTTAGACACAGTCTGCAGACACAACAGCAGTGATACACTCAACCGTTAAGACTTAGTTTGCAAACACAACAGCAATGATACACTCAACAGTTTAGAACCGGTCTGCAGACACAACAGCAGTGATACACTCAACCGTTAAGACTTAGTTTGCAAACAACAGCAATGATACACTCAACAGTTTAGAACCGATCTGCAGACACAGCTGCAATGATACATTCATCTGTTGGACATGGTCTGCAGACACAGCTGCAATGATACATTCATCTGTTAGACATGGTCTGCAGACACAGCTGCAATGATACACTCATCTGTTAGACACAGTCTGCAGACACAGCTGCAATGATACACTCATCTGTTAGACACAGTCTGCAGACACAGCTGCAATGATACACTAATCTGTTAGACACAGTCTGCAGACACAGCTGCAATGATACACTCATCTGTTAGACACAGTCTGCAGACACAGCTGCAATGATACACTTATCTGTTAGACACAGTCTGCAGACACAGCTGCAATGATACACTCATCTGTTAGACCCAGTCTGCAGACACAGCTGCAATGATACACTCATCTGTTAGACCCAGTCTGCAGACACAGCTGCAATGATACACTTATCTGTTAGACACAGTCTTCAGACACAGCTGCAATGATACACTCATCTGTTAGACCCAGTCTGCAGACCCAGCTGCAATGATACACTCAACTGTTAGACCCAGTCTGCAGACACAGCAGCAATGATACACTCAACTGTTAGACCCAGTCTGCAGACACAGCAGCAATGATACACTCAACTGTTAGACACAGTCTGCAGACACAGCTGCAATGATACACTAATCTGTTAGACACAGTCTGCAGACACAGCTGCAATGATACACTCATCTGTTAGACACAGTCTGCAGACACAGCTGCAATGATACACTTATCTGTTAGACACAGTCTGCAGACACAGCTGCAATGATACACTCATCTGTTAGACCCAGTCTGCAGACACAGCTGCAATGATACACTCATCTGTTAGACCCAGTCTGCAGACACAGCTGCAATGATACACTTATCTGTTAGACACAGTCTTCAGACACAGCTGCAATGATACACTCATCTGTTAGACCCAGTCTGCAGACCCAGCTGCAATGATACACTCAACTGTTAGACCCAGTCTGCAGACACAGCAGCAATGATACACTCAACTGTTAGACCCAGTCTGCAGACACAGCAGCAATGATACACTCAACTGTTAGACACAGTCTGCAGACACAGCTGCAATGATACACTCATCTGTTAGACACAGTCTGCAGACACAGCTGCAATGATACACTCATCTGTTAGACACAGTCTGCAGACACAGCAGCAATGATACACCCACCTGCTGCCAGCATGACCGAGGGGTTGCTGGTGTTGGTACAGCTGGTGATGGCTGCGATGACCACACTGCCATGCTGCAGTACATACTCCTGGCCTTCAAAGACAAAGGGAACCTTGGTGCTCAACTTCTCTGTGGGGACCGCATAGCCCTAGAGGAAAGCACACATGGACATGACAACATTCTGAGTTATTTGTTGTGTGTTGTCACAAAAACTTACAAACATTCATGCGAGTGGATACAAACATTCTTACAGTAACTTCATGTGTTATGAGTGGATACAAACATTCTTGCAGTAACTTTATGTGGTGTGTGTGTGTGGACACAAACAAGCATGCAGTAACTCCATGTGGTGTATATGTGGACACAAACAAGCATGCAGTAACTCCATGTGGTGTGTGTGTGTGTGGACATAAACAAGCATGTAGTAACTCCATGTGGTGTGTGTGTGGACACAAACAAGCATGCAGTAACTTCATGTGGTGTGTGTGTGTGGACACAAACAAGCATGCAGTAACTTCATGTGGTGTGTGTGTGTGGACACAAACAAGCATGCAGTAACTTCATGTGGTGTGTGTGTGGACACAAACAAGCATGCAGTAACTTCATGTGGTGTGTGTGTGGACACAAACAAGCATGCAGTAACTTCATGTGGTGTGTGTGTGTGGACACAAACAAGCATGTAGTAACTCCATGTGGAGTATATGTGGACACAAACAAGCATGCAGTAACTCCATGTGGTGTGTGTGTGTGGACATAAACAAGCATGCAGTAACTCCATGTGGTGTGTGTGTGTGGACACAAACAAGCATGCAGTAACTCCATGTGGTGTATGTGTGGACACAAACAAGCATGCAGTAACTCCATGTGGTGTATATGTGGACACAAACAAGCATGTAGTAACTCCATGTGGTGTGTATATGTGGACACAAACAAGCATGCAGTAACTCCATGTGGTGTATGTGTGGACACAAACAAGCATGCAGTAACTCCATGTGGTGTATATGTGGACACAAACAAGCATGCAGTAACTCCATGTGGTGTATATGTGGACACAAACAAGCATGCAGTAACTCCATGTGGTGTGTATATGTGGACACAAACAAGCATGCAGTAACTCCATGTGGTGTATATGTGGACACAAACAAGCATGCAGTAACTCCATGTGGTGTATATGTGGACACAAACAAGCATGCAGTAACTCCATGTGGTGTATATGTGGACACAAACAAGCATGCAGTAACTCCACGTGGTGTATGTGTGGACATAAACAAGCATGCAGTAACTCCATGTGGTGTATATGTGGACACAAACAAGCATGCAGTAACTCCATGTGGTGTGTATATGTGGACACAAACAAGCATGCAGTAACTCCATGTGGTGTGTATATGTGGACACAAACAAGCATGCAGTAACTCCATGTGGTGTATATGTGGACACAAACAAGCATGCAGTAACTCCATGTGGTGTATATGTGGACACAAACAAGCATGCAGTAACTCCATGTGGTGTATATGTGGACACAAACAAGCATGTGGTAACTCTATGTGGTGTGTGTGTGGACACAAACAAGCATGCAGTAACTCCATGTGGTGTGTGTGTGGACACAAACAAGCATGCAGTAACTCCATGTGGTGTGTGTGTGGACACAAACAAGCATTCAGTAACTCCATGTGGTGTATACGTGGACACAAACAAGCATGCAGTAACTCCATGTGGTGTATATGTGTGGACACAAACAAGCATGCAGTAACTCCATGTGGTGTATATGTGGACACAAACAAGCATGCAGTAACTCCATGTGGTGTGTGTGTGGACACAAACAAGCATGTGGTAACTCTATGTGGTGTATATGTGGACACAAACAAGCATGCAGTAACTCCATGTGGTGTGTGTGTGTGGACACAAACAAGCATGCAGTAACTCCATGTGGTGTATATGTGGACACAAACAAGCATGCAGTAACTCCATGTGGTGTGTGTGTGGACACAAACAAGCATGTAGTAACTTCATGTGGTGTGTGTGTGGACACAAACAAGCATGCAGTAACTCCATGTGGTGTGTGTGTGGACACAAACAAGCATGCAGTAACTCCATGTGGTGTGTGTGTGTGGACACAAACAAGCATGCAGTAACTCTATGTGGTGTATATGTGGACACAAACAAGCATGTGGTAACTCTATGTGGTGTGTGTGTGGACACAAACAAGCATGTGGTAACTTCATGTGGTGTGTGTGTGGACACAAACAAGCATGTGGTAACTCCATGTGGTGTATATGTGGACACAAACAAGCATGCAGTAACTCCATGTGGTGTGTGTCTGGACACAAACAAGCATGTGGTAACTCCATGTGGTGTATATGTGGACACAAGCAAGCATGTGGTAACTCCATGTGGTGTGTGTGTGTGGACACAAACAAGCATGCAGTAACTCCATGTGGTGTATATGTGGACACAAACAAGCATGCAGTAACTCCATGTGGTGTATATGTGGACACAAACAAGCATGCAGTAACTCCATGTGGTGTATATGTGGACACAAACAAGCATGCAGTAACTTCATGTGGTGTGTATATGTGGACACAAACAAGCATGCAGTAACTCCATGTGGTGTATATGTGGACACAAACAAGCATGCAGTAACTCCATGTGGTGTGTATATGTGGACACAAACAAGCATGCAGTAACTCCATGTGGTGTATATGTGGACACAAACAAGCATGTAGTAACTTCATGTGGTGTGTATATGTGGACACAAACAAGCATGTGGTAACTCCATGTGGTGTGTGTGTGTGGACACAAACAAGCATGCAGTAACTCCATGTGGTGTGTGTGTGGACACAAACAAGCATGCAGTAACTCCATGTGGTGTGTATATGTGGACACAAACAAGCATGCAGTAACTCCATGTGGTGTGTGTGTGGACACAAACAAGCATGTGGTAACTCCATGTGGTGTATATGTGGACACAAACAAGCATGCAGTAACTCCATGTGGTGTGTGTGTGGACACAAACAAGCATGTGGTAACTCCATGTGGTGTGTGTGTGTGGACACAAACAAGCATGCAGTAACTCCATGTGGTGTGTGTGTGGACACAAACAAGCATGCAGTAACTCCATGTGGTGTGTGTGTGTGGACACAAACAAGCATGTGGTAACTCCATGTGGTGTATATGTGGACACAAACAAGCATGCAGTAACTCCATGTGGTGTGTGTATGGACACAAACAAGCATGTGGTAACTCCATGTGGTGTATATGTGGACACAAACAAGCATGCAGTAACTCCATGTGGTGTGTGTGTGGACACAAACAAGCATGTGGTAACTCCATGTGGTGTGTGGATAGAAACATTTATGCAGTAACTCTATGTGGATACATGCTGCTCCATAAGCTGTGTGTTAATAATACAAACATTCACACAAGCAATTCATGTGCTGGGTGTCAATAAAACAAACATTTACACAATTAATTATTGTCACATATTAAAGATGTGATCCCTAGTTTCTCTACCCTGTCTGAAACCCGCTTGTGCTTCATGTGGCTCACATTGTAGTTTCCTTTCAATCCATTTCATGATATTTCGTAAAAGGATTTTGCTAGCATGGCTTATTAATGCGATAGTACAGTAGTTGCAGCATAGTTTCAGGTTTCCTTTCTTTGGAAGAGGGAAATAGATTGTTCTTTTCCACGCTTTGGGCCAAATGCCACTGTTCCAGATCTTCGAGCACAGTGCATGGTAGATTATGGCTTCTCCTCCTGCTTGAATTAGTTCTGCTGGTATTTCATCACAACCTGGTGACTTTCCTTTCTTCAGACCTCATCCAGTAAAGGCTCTGGTTCTTTTTCATAACCTTCATAAGTTGTTTTTGAATTACTTGTCAGATCCTCATACATTTCTCAACAGTATTCTTGTATTAGTATAAGTGTAGCACAAATAAAGTGCATGTGTGTAAACACAACTGTAGCTACAACAAAAGTAAAAGAGTGTAGACACAATTAATTAATGTAAGTGTAGCCACAACTAAAGTGCATGAGTGTAGACACAATTAATTAATGTAAGTGTAGCCACAACTAAAGTGCATGAGTGTAGACACAATTAATTAATGTAAGTGTAGCCACAACTAAAGTGCATGAGTGTAGACACAATTAATTAATGTAAGTGTAGCCACAACTAAAGTGCATGAGTGTAGACACAATTAATTAATGTAAGTGTAGCCACAACTAAAGTGCATGAGTGTAGACACAATTAATTAATGTAAGTGTAGCCACAACTAAAGCGCATGAGTGTAGACACAATTAATTAATGTAAGTGTAGCCACAACTAAAGCGCATGAGTGTAGACACAATTAATTAATGTAAGTGTAGCCACAACTAAAGTGCATGAGTGTAGACACAATTAATTAATGTAAGTGTAGCCACAACTAAAGTGCATGAGTGTAGACACAATTAATTAATGTTAGTGTAGCCACAACTAAAGTGCACGAGTGTAGACACAATTAATTAATGTAAGTGTAGCCACAACTAAAGTGCATGAGTGTAGACAATTAATTATTGTTAGTGTAGCCACAACTAAAGTGCATGAGTGTAGACACAATTAATTAATGTAAGTGTAGCCACAACTAAAGTGCATGAGTGTAGACACAATTAATTAATGTAAGTGTAGCCACAACTAAAGTGCATGAGTGTAGACACAATTAATTAATGTTAGTGTAGCCACAACTAAAGTTCATGAGTGTAGACACAATTAATTAATGTAAGTGTAGCCACAACTAAAGTGCATGAGTTCAGGCACAATTAATGTTAGTGTAGCCACAACTAAAGTGCATGAGTTTAGGCACAATTAATGTTAGTGTAGCCACAACTAAAGTGCATGAGTTTAGGCACAATTAATGTTAGTGTAGCCACAACTAAAGTGCATGAGTTTAGACACAATTAATGTTAGTGTAGCCACAACTAAAGTGCATGAGTTTAGGTACAATTAATGTTAGTGTAGCCACAACTAAAGTGCATGAGTGTAGACACAATTAATGTTAGTGTAGCCACAACTAAAGTGCATGAGTGTAGACACAATTAATGTTAGTGTAGCCACAACTAAAGTGCATGAGTTTAGGCACAATTAATGTTAGTGTAGCCACAACTAAAGTGCATGGGTGTAGACATAATTAATGTAAGTGAAGTCACAACTAAAATGCATGGGTGTAGACATAATTAATGTAAGTGTAGTCACAACTAAAATGCATGGGTGTAGACATAATTAATGTAAGTGTAGTCACAACTAAAATGCATGGGTGTAGACATAATTAATGTGACTAGCCACAATTAAAATGCTACCTTGAAGCCGACTTTGTTGATGAGACACTTGTGGAAGTCCTCCTTCATCTCTGAGACTGGCACACGGTCATGGGGTCGCTTAGGGCCAGAGCAGCAAGGTACCACCGTGGACAAGTCCAGCTCCACTATCTGCACACAACAGTGACCATAGTCTTTTACCCACATAGCACCCAACAAACAAGCAAACATATGAGAAAAAAAACACACACACATGCACGAGAGTGTGTGCATGTATGCATACACACACTGAGAAACAGAAATGGGGAGGGCAGGAATGGGAAAAGGGGGGTGGGGGGGGGAGAGAGAGAGAGATAGAGAGAACGAACGAACAAACTTTATTTTCAAAGGGTCACAAATTGGGCACGCAGGCCTGTCTTACATTCGGCCCTTCCAATCATCTTTCACACAGCAATTGTATTTTACTAATAAAGCATGTTATGATCATATGATGATATGCATATTATGAATATTATAAAAGAACACAAAAGCATGAGTTGTAAAGTGCATGCAAAAAGCCGCGCGTGCATACATACACCCACATACACACGCTCACCCACTCACTTACACACACATACATGCATACATTGCATACATACACACAAACAGGCATACATACATACATACATACATACATACATACATACAAACAAACATGCATTCACACATACACACAGGCATACATACACACAAACATACATACAAAAATACAAACATACAGGCATACATACATACATTCATACATACATAATACAGGCATACACACATACAAACATACAGTCATAAATACAGTCATGCATGGAAACACACACATGCACACACGGACACTCCCACAGAGACACACACACTCAGACAAAAATAGACACACACACACTTACATATAAACACACAGGGAAACACACAGCACACATATTTACATTCCTGCTCACACACTGACACACACACCACACACATACGCAGACAAACATGCAGACACATACATACAGCCACATAGACACACACGCAGTCAAACACACACACACACAGACAAACAGGCAGACAAACCCATACTGACACCCACAAACACGCAGAAGTGCATACACATGCAAACACATAGAAATACACACGCAGACACATATATTCAGCACGCACAGACATATACTCTGACATGCAGACACATACAGACAACAAAGTGGCACATACAACACACACAGAGAAACACACATAGACATGCACAGACAGACAGACACATGCTGACACATACACTCAGACAGACAGACATACTGACACCCACACACACAGAGATACACACATACAGCCTCATAGACACACCCGCAGACAAAACACATAAACATACACAGGCAAACATGAAGACAAACATATACAGGGACACACACAGACACAAACGAAGATATACACACAGTCACATCAAATATGCAAAAAAAAACACCGAGACACATACACATGCAAACAAACACAGAAAGACACACACAGACACATATACACAGCTTACATGTATCCAATCGCACACACACACACACGCAGACACACATTCACAACAAGGAGGCACACTTAAACACATAGAAACACACACAGACCAATTCACACTGAAACATACACGTGGACATACGCGCGAACACACACATTCGCACACATACACAAGGACACAGACGCATTCATTCGCAGACACACACGCAGACAAACAACATACTTAGAGTCATATGTATACAAACACGCCTGCACATACATACATATCACGCACACACGCTTGCGCAAACATACATATCATACACACCTTGTTTAATAATAAATTGATAATGCAATATGGTTTACATTACATTCAAGGTGGCATATAATCGCTTGTAAGAATGAATTGAAAAAGTTTACGATTAAATGAATAGGGACTTTTAGAATTTTTCAGGTCTATTGGAAGTTGGTTCCACAGATGAGCAGCGGAGTACGCTAAACTTGTTTTATATAAATCTATTCTAGGTTTAGGTAAATTTAATAAATTTAATCGCTTGCTATTTATAGGATTTTATTTAATTAAACGGAAAAGGTAGTTTGGAGTATTTTGAGATAAAATTTTATCAATAAATTTGGCCTTGTTAAAAATTAAACGTTTGCTAAATGGCAATAGTCTTAGATGGTTATAGAGATTATTTTTTACAATATGTTTATTATCTGAAACCAGGCATAAAGCACGATTTTGAAGAGAACTTAGTCTTTTAACATTGGATTTGGCGCAACCATCCCAAACTGTGGAACAATAGTCGACATGTGTTTAGATGTAAGACGCGTAAAATACTTTTCTTGCATCTTCGTCTAGAAAGTGCTGAATTTTTGCAAGCTGATAAACTTTTTGTGCTATTTTCTTAGTTATGAAAGAAACATCTGAATTCCAGGTTAAATGGTTGTCATTTGTAAGGCCTAAAGTTTTTTGTTCCGTTACATTAACAATAGGTAATTTATCAATGTAGAGCTCGAGTGTCGGCTTGTGCAGTACTAATGTTTGCAACTTTTGTCTGGTTGTTATAAGCCTAGACTTCGTTTTATTTATGTTGATTTGCATGCGATTGCTGTTGCTCCATTTACAAAGATTGTGTACTTCTTTCTGTAAAGATCTTTCTAACTCATTACGATTCTCATTACTAGTATATATTGTACAGTCATCAGCAAATAAATCGCATTTTATACTAAGATGTAATGGAAGGTCGTTAAAATACGTGGAAAATAGTAGTGGACATAGAATCACCCCTGTGGCACGCCTATATTTAACTGAGTGGATTCTGACAGGCGGTTGTTGAAGGATACTACTTGCTGTCTATCAGATAAAAATGACCGCATTATTTCGACTAAATTATCGTTAGTTTTTTAATATTTTTAATTTATTAATTAGAATATCATGATCAACCCTATCGAAGGCTTTCTTAAAGTCTACAAAAACTGCACCGCAAATTTTGCCTTTGTTGATGTTAAAGTGCCAGTTGTCTGTCATTTTTGTCATCGCAGTATGGCAAGAGTGCATAGGCCTGAACCCTGATTGGCTATCAACTATCAGATTGTTGTTATTTAAATGCTGAAACGTTATTTTATGTATGTGTTTCTCCAATGGTTTGGATAGCGAGGACAGTAGAGAAATGGGTCTATAACTGCCAAGAGAACTGTTGTCAGCTGAGCCAGGTTTGAGTAGAGGATACAATTTCGCAATTTTAAATGCTGATGGAAAGTAGTTCTTAGAAAGGCACTGATTATATATGAATGTTAGGGAGTCACTAATGACTGGTGCAGCACATCGAAGAATTCGATTACTGATTCCATCTAAGCCAGAGGAGTTTGTTTTCTTGAGGTTGGAGAGATATTTATATATTTATATTTATATTGAAGAAGGAACTGAACGTTTCACATGTTAGCGAATTAGGTATTGCCTGGTCTGAACAATGTTTCTTATTGGTTAGCGTATTAATAGCCTTCCAGATATCGGCACTGTTTGTTTTTTCTTTAATTAATTTATTAAAGTGGTCTTTCTTCACTTTACGAATTTCATATTGCACTTTATTTCTTAATTCACGATAAGCAGTAAAGTTTTTATTTTTATGTGCCGTATCCCGCTCTCTCATAATTTCTAGAACTGCACTAGTTATCCACGGTAATTTAGTTTGGCTTTTTACTCTAACTTCCTTAACTGGTACATGTTTATCAAAAACACCGTAGACTGTCTTAGTCCAGTAGGCTAAAGCGTCGTCAGGTTCAGGAAGTTGTAAACATGATCGAGCTGTACATTTTGCAAGTCGCGTAAAAATAAATCCGGATTAAAGGTTTTGAAACATCTAAATTTAATAGCCAAATGCTTATTTTTAGGAGCTCTAAATTTACCTTTTGACCAGGTAAGGATTACGGGATAATGGTAGCTGACTGCACTAGCAGGAACAGTACATTCAATAATATTTGTTGGACAAGACACATAGATGTGATCTAGTATAGTTGAGGTGGTTTCTGTCACTCTCGTGGGCCGGTTGATTAGTTGTTTAAAGTTATAGGATAGGATGATATCTCGCCATGTTTGGTTTAGTTTCTTTGCATCAATGTTGAAATCTCCTAGAAGAATAATTTCTTTTCCTAAGCTAAAAACTTTATCCAGCATAGAAGTGAAGTCGTCATACCAATTGTTACCTGCACACGGATTTCGATACAGAGAGAGAGCGAGAGAGCAAGCGAGAGAGAGAGAGATAAAGTAACACAATAGCTAACTGTCCCTGTCTTACACTCCACTACCAGTGGATGAAGCAACATTGTAGCTAACTGTCCCTGTTTTACAGTCCAATACCAGTGGATGAAGCAACATTGTGGCTAACTGTCCCTGTCTTACAGTGCACTACCAGTGGATGAAGAAACACTGTAGCTAACTGTCCCTGTCTTACAGTTTACTACCAGTGGATGAAGCAACATTGTGGCTAACTGTCCCTGTCTTTCAGTCCACTACCAGTGGATGAAGCAACATTGTGGCTAACTGTCTCTGTTTTACAGTCCACACTACTAGTGGATGAAGCAACATTGTAGCTAACTGTCCCTGTCTTACAGTCCACTACCAGTGGATGAAGCAACATTGTAGCTAACTGTCCCTGTCTTACAGTCCACACTACCAGTGGATGAAGCAACATTGTAGCTAACTGTCCCTGTCTTACACTTTAATACCAGTGGATGAAGCAACATAATAGCTAACTGTCTCTGTCTTACAGTACACACTACTAGTGGATGAAGCAACATGGTAGCTAATTGTCTCTGTTTTACAGTCCACACTACCAGTGGATGAAGAAACATTGTGGCTAACAAATGCATTGCTGCAGACAGTTACCTCAGAAAAGACTGGATCCTGGTTGCTATCATTGAAGTTTCGGAAGAGGTTGTTGGCCTTCAAATACTGCTCCGTGATGGCAAGTTTGGTATCATCTCGACCTAGTCACACACAAATCACTCTGGTCAAATAAAATAATCCACATAACCTAGTCAATATAGAAAAGCACACTGGTAAAATAAAATAATCCACATAATCTAGTCAATATAGAAAAGCACACTGGTCAAATAAAATAATCCCCATAACCTAGTCAATATAGAAAAGCACACTGGTCAAATAAAATAATCCACATAACCTAGTCAATATAGAAAAGCACACTGGTCAAATAAAATAATCCCCATAACCTAGTCAATATAGAAAAGCACACTGGTCAAATAAAATAATCCCCATAACCTAGTCAATATAGAAAAGCACACTGGTCAAATAAAATAATCTTCATAACCTAGTCAATATAGAAAAGCATACTGGTCAAATAAAATAATCCACATAACCTAGTCATTATAGAAAAGCAGACTGGTCAAATAAAATAATCCACATAACCTAGTCAATAAAGAAAAGCACACTGGTCAAATAAAATAATCCCCATAACCTAGTCAATATAGAAAAGCAGACTGGTCAAATAAAATAATCCACATAACCTAGTCAATATAGAAAAGCAAACTGGTCAAATAAAATAATCCACATAACCTAGTCAATATAGAAAAGCACACTGGTCAAATAAAATAATCCACATAACCTAGTCAATATAGAAAAGCACACTGGTCAAATAAAATAATCCCCATAACCTAGTCAATATAGAAAAGCACACTGGTCAAATAAAATAATCCCCATAACCTAGTCAATATAGAAAAGCACACTGGTCAAATAAAATAATCCCCATAACCTAGTCAATACAGAAAAGCACACTGGTCAAATAAAATAATCCACATAACCTAGTCAATATAGAAAAGCACACTGGTCAAATAAACTAATCCACATAACCTAGTCAATATAGAAAAGCACACTGGTCAAATAAACTAATCCACATAACCTAGTCAATATAGAAAAGCACACCGGTCAAATAAACTAATCCACATAACCTAGTCAATATAGAAAAGCAGACTGGTCAAATAGAATCAATCACCTCGACATAGTTACACAAGAAAATCACATTGGTCAAATAGATTCAATCACCTCGACATAGTTACACAAGAAAATCAAATTGGTCAAATAGATTCAATCACTTCGACATAGTCACACACAAGAAAATCACATTGGTCAAATAGATTCAATCACTTCGACATAGTCACACACAAGAAAATCACATTGGTCAAATAGAATCAATCACCTCGACATATTTACACAAGAAAATCACATTGGTCAAATAGATTCAATCACTTCGACATAGTCACACACAAGAAAATCACATTGGTCAAATAGAATCAATCACTTCGACATAGTCACACACAAGAAAATCACATTGGTCAAATAGATTCAATCACTTTGACATAGTCACACACAAGAAAATCACATTGGTCAAATAGAATCAATCTCAAGAAAAATCAAACCCTTTAAAAAAATAATGAATGGGAGGCCTGAAGCTGAAGGCTGTACATGGAATTGTTCCTGAAGGCTGTACATGGAATTATTCCTAAAGGCTGTACATGGAATTGTTACTGAAGGCTGTACATGGAATTGTTCCTGAAGGCTGTACATGGAATTGTTCCTGAAGGCTGTACATGGAGTTGTTCCTGAAGGCTGTACATGGAATTGTTCCTGAAGGCTGTACATGGAATTGTTCCTGGAGGCTGTACATGGAACTGTTCCTGAAGGCTGTACATGGAATTGTTCCTGAAGGCTGTACATGGAATTGTTCCTGAAGGCTGTACATGGAATTGTTCCTGGAGGCTGTACATGGAATTGTTCCTGAAGGCTGTACATGGAACTGTTCCTGAAGGCTGTACATGGAATTGTTCCTGAAGGCTGTACATGGAATTGTTCTACCAGCTACCAAACAGGGAGAAAGTCAGGGTGTCGTGGGTGATCGTATGGTCCATGTGTCACCGGCTCCTCACGGGAAGCAAAGAATAGTAACACTGAACCCTATCATGCAGGTTGTAGGAGGTGACTAAGGGTAGGGTTGGGCTTGGAGTTGGCTACCTGATTCTGTTAAAACAATAGCCATAAAAACCAATCAACCATGGAAAGGCCAACCAAGATGAGGGGAGGCTCTTCTAGTAGAAGAAGTATTCGTAGGGGTGTGACCTGGCCACAGAGCTATGGGTGACATTACTGTGGGCAGTGTGACCTGACCACAGAACTATGGGTGACATTACTGTAGGGGTGTGACCTGGCCACAGAACTATGGGTGACATTACTGTGGGTGTTGTGACTTGACCACAGAACTATGGGTGACATTACTGTGGGTGTTGTGACTTGACCACAGAACTATGGGTGACATTACTGTGGGTGTTGTGACTTGACCACAGAACTATGGGTGACATTACTGTGGGTGTTGTGACTTGACCACAGAACTATGGGTGACATTACTGTAGGGGTGTGACCTGACCACAGAACTATGGGTGACATTACTGTGGGTGTTGTGACCTGGCCACAGAACTATGGGTGACATTACTGTGGGTGTTGTGACCTGGCCACAGAACTATGGGTGACATTACTGTGGGCGGTGTGACTTGACCACAGAGCTATGGGTGACATTACTGTGGGCGGTGTGACTTGACCACAGAGCTATGGGTGACATTACTGTGGGTGGTGTGACCTGACCACAGAACTATGGGTGACATTACTGTGGGCGGTGTGACTTGACCACAGAACTATGGGTGACATTACTGTGGGCGGTGTGACCTGACCACAGAACTATGGGTGACATTACTGTGGGCGGTGTGACCAGACCACAGAACTATGGGTGACATTACTGTGGGCATTGTGACTTGACCACAGAACTATGGGTGACATTACTGTGGGTGGTGTGACCTGACCACAGAACTATGGGTGACATTACTGTGGGTGTTGTGACCTGGCCACAGAACTATGGGTGACATTACTGTGGGGGTGTGACCTGACCACAGAACTATGGGTGACATTACTGTGGGCATTGTGACTTGACCACAGAACTATGGGTGACATTACTGTGGGCGGTGTGACCTGACCACAGAACTATGGGTGACATTACTGTGGGCGGTGTGACCTGACCACAGAACTATGGGTGACATTACTGTGGGCGGTGTGACCTGACCACAGAACTATGGGTGACATTACTGTGGGGGTGTGACCTGACCACAGAACTATGGGTGACATTACTGTGGGGGTGTGGCATGACCACAGAACTATGGGTGACATTACTGTGGGGGTGTGGCATGACCACAGAACTATGGGTGACATTACTGTGGGCGGTGTGACCTGACCACAGAACTATGGGTGACATTACTGTGGGCGGTGTGACCTGACCACAGAACTATGGGTGACATTACTGTGGGGGTGTGACCTGACCACAGAACTATGGGTGACATTACTGTGGGCGGTGTGACCTGACCACAGAACTATGGGTGACATTACTGTGGGGGTGTGACCTGACCACAGAACTATGGGTGACATTACTGTGGGGGTGTGGCATGACCACAGAACTATGGGTGACATTACTGTGGGGATATGGTATGACCACAGAACTATGGGTGACATTACTGTGGGCGGTGTGACCTGACCACATAACTATGGGTGACATTACTGTGGGGGTGTGACCTGACCACAGAACTATGGGTGACATTACTGTGGGGGTGTGGCATGACCACAGAACTATGGGTGACATTACTGTGGGGGTGTGGCATGACCACAGAACTATGGGTGACATTACTGTGGGCGGTGTGACCTGACCCTGACCACAGAACTATGGGTGACATTACTGTGGGCGGTGTGACATGACCACAGAACTATGGGTGACATTACTGTGGGGATATGGTATGACCACAGAACTATGGCTGACATTACTGTGGGGATATGGTATGACCACAGAACTATGGGTGACATTACTGTGGGGATATGGTATGACCACAGAACTATGGGTGACATTACTGTGGGGATATGGTATGACCACAGAACTATGGGTGACATTACTGTGGGCGGTGTGACCTGACCACAGAACTATGGGTGACATTACTGTGGGGGTGTGACCTGACCACAGAACTATGGGTGACATTACTGTGGGCGGTGTGACCTGACCACAGAACTATGGGTGACATTACTGTGGGGGTGTGACCTGACCACAGAACTATGGGTGACATTACTGTGGGGGTGTGGCATGACCACAGAACTATGGGTGACATTACTGTGGGGATATGGTATGACCACAGAACTATGGGTGACATTACTGTGGGCGGTGTGTGACCTGACCACATAACTATGGGTGACATTACTGTGGGGGTGTGACCTGACCACAGAACTATGGGTGACATTACTGTGGGGGGTGTGGCATGACCACAGAACTATGGGTGACATTACTGTGGGGGTGTGGCATGACCACAGAACTATGGGTGACATTACTGTGGGCGGTGTGACCTGACCCTGACCACAGAACTATGGGTGACATTACTGTGGGCGGTGTGACATGACCACAGAACTATGGGTGACATTACTGTGGGGATATGGTATGACCACAGAACTATGGCTGACATTACTGTGGGGATATGGTATGACCACAGAACTATGGGTGACATTACTGTGGGGATATGGTATGACCACAGAACTATGGGTGACATTACTGTGGGGATATGGTATGACCACAGAACTATGGGTGACATTACTGTGGGCGGTGTGACCTGACCACAGAACTATGGGTGACATTACTGTGGGGATATGGTATGACCACAGAACTATGGGTGACATTACTGTGGGGATATGGTATGACCACAGAACTATGGGTGACATTACTGTGGGGATATGGTATGACCACAGAACTATGGGTGACATTACTGTGGGCGGTGTGACCTGACCACAGAACTATGGGTGACATTACTGTGGGTGTGTGGCATGACCACAGAACTATGGGTGACATTACTGTGGGCGGTGTGACCTGACCACAGAACTATGGGTGACATTACTGTGGGTG